TGTGTGTGTCCTGTGATGGACTGGCCCTGGTATGAGTGTGTGTGTGTGTGTCCTGTGATGGACTGGCCCTGGTGTGAGTGTGAGTGTGTGTGTGTCCTGTGACGGACTGGCCCTGGTGTGAGTGTGTGTGTCCTGTGATGGACTGGTGTCTCGCCCAGGGTGTATCCTGCCATGTGTCTGTTGCTTGCCTGGGCTCTGGCCTCCCTGCAATCCTGAACTGGATGAACTGGGTAGAAAATGGTTTGTCGTGAAATTTTGATCCGATTTCGCTCAGATGTCCTCCAGGCTGCTGAGCACTGACTCTCATCCACACACTGTATCCTTCGCTTTTCCAGACTGTCAGGACTCCCTTTCCTCAAACTATCAGGGGATACTGCATAGGGCAGCTCTCCTTCTGTACCCCTCTTGAACAGCTATATCTCACTTGACACTTAGAGGACGGCAAGACTTTGTCCTTGTGCACATTTGTCTCTGGGCGTGAAACAGCCTGAAGGTGTAGTTTGGAACTTGATCTGGATCTGAGTTTGTGGTTTACAGCAAAAGAAATGCACTGCACTCTTCAGCAGAACTTTCTCAGGTGCAAAGAGGATGGGAAATCTGATTCTGGCGCAAGAAAAAAAGAGATTACATCTCTCAGACATCTTGATCCTCCCTCTCGGAAAGTGGGTTTACACCGAAAACTGATCTGCAAGAGACGGAGACAGAGGGAGGACAGTCATGAGACGAGCAGTGGAGACCTCATGCACAAGACCAGTCTTAAATGGGAGAAAGCTGGTTATCTTGCAGAACCAGGTGCTTTCAGATTGTTTGTTTTCATGATCAATCTAATGATCGAATTCTTCTGGACTAAGAGGGTCTTGTCTGTACCTGTGCTCTTACTCCTTCAAGAGCCAATCAGAGCCTTCAGGCAGGGTCCTGTTTCCAGGACAGGGGTGTCCAGTCCTGGTCCTGGAGGGTGCATGTATCTTCAGATCTTTCTGGATTTTAATGATCCGGTCAGACCAAGCGCCCGTTTCAAGGGGCGATGTCATTACTTTGGAGTAAGAGCACAGTTACAGAGTCAGGTTCGCCCAGGAGGAGGAGATCCTGCATCAGGCAGTAATGACAGATCTCTGGTGTAAGAACACTAGGACAGACTCACCCAGGGAGGGGCAGCACCTTTAATATTAATAATAATAAGTGCTTTTCTGGACCCTCCACTCAGAGCTCTTCCCAGGTCAGGGGGAATCCCACT